AACTCTGTTCAAACTTTTAAATGAACTGCGTTTAAACTAATAAGTGAATTCGGTTCCAAACTTTGAAATGAACTCTGTACAAACTATTAAATGAACGTGGATCAAACTCTGAAATAACGCAGTTCCAGTGAACTCAGTGAACGCAGTTCAAGTTCAGTATAGATGTCATGCTGTCAAAGAATTTTGGTATGTAGTAAAATTCAACTGACCTGTTCAGCCCGACGCGCAAACTTCCCCTCCTCGCCGGTGTGTAGCGCTGTGCCGCGATACCGTAAATGAGCCAGCAATAACCGCCGTACGGGCTTGCTGGGCGGCAGCGCCGCACCCACAGCGCAACACAGCAGCGCCCAATGCCGCGCCGATACGCGAGACGACGGCTCCGGGTGGTCTGTCGTCTAATCAAATAGACAATTTTTTTGTTTAAATTGAAAATACATCGAGAATGTAATAAAAAAGTTTCTAAAGATTAAAGGGCAAACATTGACTTAAAAATAAATGGACGACGGGTCTAATACAAAAACCACGAACAAAATGTCCCAAGTCAACCTATTTAAACGTAGTGACATGTAAAGGAATATGAAAAAGCTAAAACGTTGAATTTAAATTGTAATGTCATCGCAGTACTGTCTAATTTTGCTTTCTTCGCTGTCAGAAGAAACAAACGAAGACTAAAGCGTGAATGACGCTCTGTATACGATTTTAACGCCCTATAAGTTCGGACACTTTTTAGCGCGGACCCGACGTCCATATAATTGTAAATCAATGAGGGCAAATAAGTATATTCAAACATTGCTGTTCGGGGTACTGAGTGGATCTAAATATTCATTACGTACCTGTTTGATAAGCTGGACGTAGAGCTCGACGAGTAACGAGTCTTTCTGCAGACAGCGCTGTAGTAGAGCCTGCGCAAGTGCGACGCGGTCGTCAGCCTCGCCCTCGCCGCCGCCGCTGCCGCTGCCCACGCTGTTGTTGTTCGCCAGACTAGTCGAGCTGCTCGTCGTGCTGCCGCCCTCACTCGTACTCAAACCCGCGTGGCTCATTATATCCTAAAATTTGTCACGTTTACAGGTTAACATTTGAAAAGAGAAGAATCCTTAACACTATTCTTTTACTGAAAGGGGTTACGAGGAATTCACCTTAAGGGCAAGGAGATCCTAAAAGCCGTGAGTGAACGGATGCACCCACTCCTGTGATTTGGTCGGCGAAACCAATACAATTTATAAGGCTCGGGGAGAGTCGGTGATTGATATCTTGGTCAATGGTGTGTTACCTTGAATATCTGCATGGCGGCGACTTCCTCTGCCTCGTTTAGCTTCGTGAGGCTGTGCGGTAACGTGCGCGACCAACACCAGTAGCCCGGTGGGAAACCCTTGTAACACTCGCCTTGCGTCTCCGCTGCCATGTCTAGACGCACTTTTTCGAGACGGTGCTTGCTTAGTCTGTGCGACAGGAAAATGCAAGTTGGTAGAAACTGACACGGGAGGTAACACTATGTAACAAATTTTCAAAACGTTCTGTTTCTGGTTTTGGTTTCTGTATAATTGAGTAGCAAGTATGTAGAAAAAGGTAGTTACATCCCTGAAAGCTTGCCTTTGTCTTTATCATAATAGTATTTACAAAGTGCTAGCGACTTCTGAAATGTGACAGGGATACCTTAAATCCTATCCGAGTGTAAACGAGTTGTACAATTCATCACAACACCATACCTCAGTTGAAGGCTGAGGTATGGTGTTGTGATGAATTGTATTACAAATCAGAACGCGATTTGTAATACAATTCATCACAACATGTTTTTAAAAGTTACTCAAAATGGATTCGTTAAGTATTAAATTTGTGTGTCCAAGAAAATGGAGCTCATTTCAAGCCACTAATTAGTTAGATTACCATTTTTTTCGTTTTATTAAAATACGTTAAGATTTCATGGTTTTTTTTCCTTTAACCAATTTTGTGAGAGATTTTATTCTTATAATTCACCCTATCGATCGATGCAATAAAAGTGCAGGGTGCATTTTTTTCAGATTAAAGCGGGTTCGATTGCCGCGTGTTGCTACAAATTTTCGAAAATCTATGAAGGCAGTTTTATTTCTTTAAAAAAATAAAGGAATGTTTCCTTTAAGTAAAAATTTCTATCTCCAGTATTTAGAGTACTTTCCCTCAATGGAAAACGCTGTAGGCAACTAAGAGCTACTGAAAGTATGACACTGACTGACATTGACATATCGCCACCGCTCACCCCACCACACCATACCCCGCCCGTGCATAGCTGAAAAGAGTCCGTAACGCATCCCCGCATCGCGCCGCTGCACGTACTCTCACCGTCTAGCTACCTCGGACATCTTTGGTGGAAAATATAGCAGCGTTTCACAGCGCCGCTAGACGTCCTCGCACCGCTATGCTACCTTGCATATCTGGTGGAAAGGCAGCATAATCGGCAAAGTACCAACATGTGATACCTTCTGAGAGTATTCCTCAAGAAGTTGCCGGCGGCCTGTTCCGTAGGCCGGCGCAGTATGCCCGAGTCGACGAGTGCGCGACGGGCGCCCTTGAGCGCGCCCGCGAGACGCGACCGCTCCGCGGCGGGCGCGGCGCGGCGCGGCGGCTCGTCGGCCAGCCCGTTGGCCAGGACGGGGTTGTAAGCTGCCATCAGCCAGGCCGCCTCATGCTTTTGAGGCGACTCTAAGACTATGCATCTGTGGATAAGGCGTCCAGGTTCTCTCTTGTCCAATTCTTATTTATTTATTTAGGAAACATCGAGTATATAATCCGAAATGGAGACGAAATAAAGGCCATCCATCTCTGGTAACTCATTAGGCAAATGGGCCTTCTATCACTGTTAAATATCAATTCTCGTTTGCGCTGAAATCACAAATTAGAAAGCTGAAATAGTACAGCGCCAACAACTGACCTGTGTGTACTTCTCAGTATATTCCAAAAATATTCTGTATAAGATAATATCTCAAACAATGGGGTGCTGTTGCATTCGGTGATGTGGAAAAAACATCAAAACATCTAATTACAAAATAAGTGGAATCACATTTCATGGGTAATTAAATATTAAATATGTAATTTTTCAATTTTCATCCATTATAGCAAAGCTCAAGTAAAACTGTTCGACTTGAAGTGAAACAATTGACGACGCCCGTCAATTGTTTCGAATTCGAGCGGGCCAATCGGAGCGCAGTCTAATTTGGCAGAATAGTGTTCAAACAAATTAAAAGGCATTTCGTCTCCATTTCTGGTTATATACTTGATGTCAGGAAAAGTCTTATACAAATCTTACAGAAAATATATTAACTTAATAACAAACCAGGTTAACAAGGTAAACAAAAAAAATACGTACAAGTGTTACAAATTATGGATATGTACAATGGACACCTATCCAAAATGAAAAGAATTGGTGACACTTATCAGAAAATAAATAAACAATATATTGTAGACGGTAATTAAACCAGCTGTCACAGAGGTTTTAATTTATTCATGGGATCCTCTGTCAAATATAATATCTCTCACTTTTATCTTGTAACTCATCAATGATAAATAAAAATGTCGATTTCTTAGAATTTGTCATTGTAATACCTGCACCAGCGTCTAATGTGTTCTGGCGTAATTTGCAGAACATGGATAACAATAAAAGAGATTCTAGGAATATTAAAGTTAACTAATTGTAGTAATGACTACATTACTCCACGAAGTCTGAGGAGATAGTGGACTACATCAGGCTAAAAACCAAATACACCTTGAGAGTCGAGCGGTTGGATTCCGGCCAAAACGTAAATTTAATTCGTTGGTGGTGAGAGTGCCGATCGAACATCTGACGGCCTTTATGAAGGAAGAGTTTTGGCCGAAGGGTGTCATATATCGGCGGTTCCGCGGCCGGTTACCTGACACCAGATTGCGCCACACGTCACCGACAAGTGCAATACGTGTAGATTAGTTTATTTTATTGTCATATTATATTGTATGTATGTATGTATGTTGACATCCTTACCGATGGCCATCATGCTGTCCATGGTGAGTCAAACTGATGGTGAGCCCATTGTCGACGGGATCCATGAGCAGCGCCGCGATGTTGCTGTACGGATACTCTGCCAGAACGACCTTATCAGCTGGTCGGACCAGCACTACGCCTTCAGAGCCCACTCCGAGTAGAACGTTTGGACCTTTAACAAATTGTATATCAAATGCATCGAAATCAAAATTATAAGGACAAAATAAATACAAACATGAAAACACAACATAAATAAATAAACATCCACTTACCATGCGCCCAATAACCCTTGTAAGTGACAGGGAAGAGCGTAACCCCATACAGCGGGTACTGCATCACGCAAGAGAGGTACAGCGCTTTGGCAGTCAGTTCTGCACGGCCAGCTCCGTATTGACGATGCGCCTGGGCGAGGATTGTAGCCTGTGTACAAACAAGTCGGATTTACATTCACTGGTGAACTGAATTACACTGCAAGATGGCGATATTTAGTATGCAACTGACCCATTGGTGCGCTGGCCGAGCCCTGGCAATGCGTTGCGGCAGAAACTGTTCGGGGTGTGAGTAGTAGGCTCGCGTGTGCGGCGGCGGGGGACTCGGTGGTGGCTCGCCCAGGGACACCTGCGCCTGCAGCCCGGCCAGTTGAAGGGCCACCTTTTCAGATACCGGAAACTCGTCCATCTGCAAACAACAAATACAAGAAACAATTAATCCACTTGTGCCAAATCGTTAACGAGTCTACACTATTTAGTAGCAGTAGAGCTCCTTGTGCTGGCGAAATTACATGCAAATGGGAATTCTCAGGCGCAGTGGCAGTACCCTCAGATCTTTGCGATTAAAAACTCTGAGTGGCACTGCAACTGTTATGGACAGGCGTGTAGTTTATTACCAGGCACACGACCCGTATGTCCCGTAACTTGACATTATAAAAAAATAAGAAAAAATTAAATACGATCGATTCGTTCGATTTCCGGCAGGACCAATTTGGGAAATTTGTCTAAATTGGTTCTGGGTAGTGCCCCTGAGTGAATTCAGTTCTTCTGGTACTCATAGTACATAGTTTCAGACTAGGTAATTGGTGTGGTAGCAGATTATATTACATTCGTTATGATAAAAGCTATGTACATACCTTTACGACGCTGTGCACCGCCTGCGCGTACAGCAAGGCGACTTCGACGGGGTCGTGCGGCAAGTCGCGTCCGCCGCGGAAAAGCCGTCGCTTGAACACGAACCTGTTGTCCGCGGATCCGCCGCCGGGACCTTGTTGCCTGTTGCAAATAAATTAATATTATTTTTAACCGACTTTAAAAAAAGGAGGTTCTCAATTCGACTGTTTTTTTCTTTTTTTGTATGTATGTATATTATGCGATAACTTTTTACTTGCGGCATTTGTGAACCGATTTTCATGATATTTTTTGTTGGAATGAGGGTACCTCAGTAGTGGTCCCATTTAAATTTGAAGAAAACATTCACTTCTAAGGGTAGCAAACTAGGGGATGAATCCGGTTTCACTCACTTTCCAGTAACCAATTTCAATAAAACTTGGCAAATAAATGTACATTCCACGAACTTTAGAGAAAGTTGTAAACGATTATGCACTGTCATGTTCTAGACTGAGAACGGAAATGACGTAGAATGTTCCAGATATAAAAGACATTTTAAGAAAGGTTTAGAAATATTTTACGCTACCGTACGGATCATCAGCGTTCTAAACTTGCGAAAAGTCAAAGGGTCAAAGTAACTCACATTTCCCAGGCGGCGATGACGTCATACAAGTACTGCGTGGCGCGCACGTGTTCCTCCTTGCCCCCTCTCTGTTGGTAGACTGCCCAGCCCACGCGCGACTGCGGCGCCAGTCCTAACTTGTCGGCGAGTCGCGCCGCCGCCGCAGCAGCTGTGTCCGCGGGGTGCACGTCGATGGCCTTTGTGCGTCCGTCCAGGAAGAAAAAACGGCATACTATGGTGCCGAGACGACGCATTGCCTGTTGGACAAATGTAACCGCAACAAACCTTAAAAGCATCGCAACACAGAAATGACGAGCTGGAACCGACTCAAACTTTCTGCGGGAGCTAGATTAATGTTCATGATTAATAATTACGTTGTCTTAGTCAAGAGACGCAGAAGGGCAAGGTACAACGTCCTCGCTAATGAAAGAATGAATGAAATATTTCTTATTGCACGCAAAATTTGCAGTGGCAACATAGAACAGTAACAGTAGTAAGCATAAAATTTAAATTTGTATTGAATTGATATTCAATTATTTTTATGAGAAATTATCCACTAGTTTGTTAATGTATTAATAATTAAGTGTAAAATGTTCAACAGGCGGCCTTACTGCTATGTAGCATATTTTTTCCAGGCAACCTTAGTATAAAAATTAAGGATATGCGAAAGGGCTGCAACCAAAGCATAACTTAAAAAAGAAAATATTTATAGATAGGATACCGATATATTATTATACACAGCGCTTATGTATATGGCTATCAAGTTAAGTCACTAGGAAGTAACGCACCGCGATCTCGACAGTACTGGGTGGGAGCTGCCTCGGCGCAGCCCCCCTGCAGTTGTCCAAGCACCACTGCGCGCAGTGCGCAGAGCGCTGCGCAGGCGTCTGCCGCGCGCGCGCCCGCAGCCACGTGCAGTAGTACTTCTGCAACCCGCGGCTCGGCTGCCACGCCACGGCGCACAGGCAAAGGATCAGCCATACGCGCTCTGCCCATTCTTCCACAGGACATTCCGTTATCTGAAATATTAAATAATGGGATTTTAAACTAAAGAGCTCAAACAAAACGCACATTGGGATTTTTTACACTGACGTAACTAAGGGCTATACAGCCTATCGTTCCGTAGTATTGTTGCAAGACTTGCCTGTCTGACACACTGAACCAATATCTCGTCGCGCAGTTCTTCCCGCTCTAGACCTTTGGCTATAATCGACTGGATCACTTGAGTCTCTTTGTCCACCGTCAGTTCGCCACGCATATACCGACAAAGATCCTGAAATAAACAAGTACAATTTCGTTCAAGACAAGATTCCATCTTTTTTTAATTAAACAATTCCTAAGAAGACAAGCGCACAAAAGGTTTACCCTGAAGAGGTTAACAGCAGCAGTGACGCTGTCGGGGTCGTGCAGCTGGATGTGTGAGGTAGGGATGTTGTTGCCCTTGTGGTAGATGATCATTTCCTCCTTCGTCAGAATCTCCATCGATTTACTCTTGCGAGTCAGTGTTGCTATTATAGTACCTGAGAATATATTTTTTTATTGTTACCGTTAAATCCTGTGTTCAGAGAAAAAACTAAGAGTGAAGTATTTTGGTTCCACTATCTATAGTCTGTCATTTTTGAAGACAGAGTAAAATGACGGTTCATTGCATAAAGTGTTGCTTGCGAGCAGCCAGTGATTGCAGTCGATAAATCTACTATCGACTGAATATTGCGCACGCTTATGGAATAAATAACCGAACTTGTTTCATTTGACTCATTCTCGACCCATCTCGATTCATCCAATTACGGAGCACAAGTTCATTTAAATTGTCAACTTTTTTAAGTTCATATATACATACACTGCATTTAGAACTATGTTTATGAAAAACCAAAGAGGAGACATATTTTAAAATTTTTTATTTCAATTCAATACAGATAATCAAATCCGGCTGTGGTTGTTAAAATGTATATGAATAAAAATTGATCTCGATACTAGTAGGCCAAGTGTAAAAATATGAATGAAGGCAATAAATCATTTAGTAATCATTAGAACCGTTCATTGTTAACGACACCCCCAAAACGACACCCCTGGGGTGTCGTTAACAATAAGCATTTGTTGACGACACCACTAACAAAAAGTGTTGTTACCCTGCTGTATGTTCGTACCTATACCATAATAATTAATAAAATAAAAAGAACCTGTAAAGATATTTTTATTTAATTTGATCGAAGCTCAATAATCCTTATTATTTCAAACATTATCTGTCTTCTTTTTACGACAGGTACGTTGTTAAGTTCTTGACCAATAAATTCTCCGAAATTACGATTTGCTTCTTTCAGGCTTGCTTCATTAGCCATTTCAGGAGTTTGTGTACTGACATTGTGGTCCTTTCCCCAATTATAATTGTCAGATTAAATGCCAACTTCTTTTTTGTTCTGAACCCTTTGTGAAGTTGAGGGATTAACATCAACAGAACAAACATTTACGTCGTGATATTGCTCATAGAGCATTTGAGTATCTTGAGTATCCCAGGTTTGACTACAGGAAGCGTCAAAATCAGCATTTTTATTTTCAAGCACATGTTTGGATCGTTTCGACATTATTTTGACTATTCAAAAATCAACGATTTCACAATTTTTTCCAAATGGCAAATGTTCGAGAATCGCCTGACACGAGTGACAATTTTCTCTTTTTTCAACGAAGTGTATGAACTTTTTGGGATCCAAAACCAAAAAGTTTTTGCTTACTCGTTATTTATTCACTCATCATAGCAAAGTGAGCGAATGTTAATAAACCAAAACGTAAAATATAATAATAATATTTTATCAGTTGGCAACAAAATAAACTGATAGATACCCTGTGAAGGAAAAGTATCTTTAGTTTCTTAATTGCTCCAAGGCTTGGCCTACTGAGAGACTTCCAGACACTAATCCTATCTGGATTTCCATGATCATATTGTCGTTAGTGATCTGCTTTTTTTTCCTTTGTTTTGTAATGGATCCTGACCCTTGGTATGGCATAATTTTATTCAACAGACGTAACAATGTTTTGTTGCTGGTGTTTATGTTTTTATTCAATTTTGAATGATATCCCTCAAGCACGTTGTTGGTGCGATGCCTTTCTCCGAATACGCTAATCACATCAAACGAATGTTTCTTCAACCAAAAAGTTTCCACGTATTTTGTAAATTGTGACATTTCTATATTGCCTGCACACAACGCCTTTATAAATTGCCACCCTTCCATGATAATATGTTGTGAAGGCAGCAACGCTAACGCCTTTGTTAACCCTATAATTCTTTTTTCTGCATAAACTTTTGAATGACCTAATTTATCTGCTTTTTTGTTAATGTTTTTGCACCAGTGAAAGTAACAACCTTTCAAGACAATATTGGGGAATAACATTTTTAATGCGTTCATTGATGCCATTTCAAAATCAGAATGTACTTTAATAGGATTCCACTTAGCAAGTTGCGACTTAATCATGCTGAACAGTTTAAAATAACTACTCTGCCGCCTGTGGGTCATTAGTGCGAACACTAATGGTACAACATTAGTGTTATCCAATGTGCTGCCAATATCTCCGTGTAGAGAGAAAATCTGAGTAAATGGAGTTGGGCACGTTTTAAAAGTGCCGTCTATAAAAAATTCTGTCACATTTGCTATTGCTTGCCTGCAATTATTAGTACAAAATACTAGAACTTTTTCATCCTTGTCACAATAATCTGCTAAAATCTGATCACGGAATTTCAATGGAATTTCTATTTCACTGACAGATTTGTATACCGTTTTTTTTAAATCCAAACTCTTGTTCCGTGCACCATACAAAAAACTAGTTGAATTATTTAATGAGGGTATAGGTATCACTAATTCTAAGCCAGTCTCTTTGATGGAGTTTGTTGCATCGTTGTAAAGTTTCGGTATGGGTTCATCACTTGTTATAACGGTTTCCCTAAGCTCATGCATTATTTTAAGAGCATCATTTTTGTGCACATTTGGCTCACATGTATGTAATTTGCCAAATGCATGTATTTGTTTATCCTGAAACAAGAGCAAACACACAATTCCTCATTTCAGGAGCAAGAAATATGTAGTAGGAAGTGGCCTCTATCTATAGCATACCTACCTTAGTAGTAACTGTTCCATGGCATTTCAACTTTTTGTGAGAGGAACATCTCCAATATACTGTATCCATCTGCATAATTTTTATGTTTATGATATTTATACTTGCCTAAAAGTAAGGCCACTCCGCCATTGGTATTTATTAATCTGAATTCGGACATTGTTAACTTTTTCTTCGAAAGTTATTGAAAATATTAGAAATGTCAATATATTGATTAACTTCACAAATGACACATAATTTATCTCATGAACGTCATAAACGTTATCAGCCAGTGCATTAGAGAAAGAGATAAAAAGATACAATTGCATATGTTTATTAACCATTGAGAGTATACTAGCTCGATAATAAATTCTTAAGCGATAAGTTATCCCAACATTACGGTGGTGTCGTCAACAAATGCTTATTGTTAACGACACCCCAGGGGTGTCGTTTTGGGGGTGTCGTTAACAATGAATGATTAGAACGTAGTAACTTTCTCAATTCAGTATTTTTTGACAAAACTATCTTCTTTCACAATCTATCGACAAAACTATCGATAACAACTACATAACTATTTAAAATTTTATGAAAACTGGCAATCCTACAAATATGTTACTCCGTCTTCAAAAAAAGACTGACTATATAAGACCATAGCTCTAAATTAAAGTAAATAACTCAGTTTGACTTAAACTACACATTTACTCAAACAAATGCTTACCTTCAGGTGACCTAGGATGGTCGTTGAAGTACAATTTGGCGAACTCTGCAAGATCATTAGCAGCGTCGGTGGGCGGGGTGGTTGGCGGTACCGCTGACGTTGGTGGGGAAGCTGCTACCTCCATCTGATGCAGCCGTCGCTCCACACGTTCCTTGCGACGCGCGTTGCGTTCCGTGTTCTGTTGATGGAGTTGTTTTACAAACTTGCTACGTAAAATATCGTATGTCGAAATTGCCAAGTTTACAGGGGAGCGTTTTAAAGTTCTGAATTCACTGAAATGAGCATAACACGTGACTTTAGCATTTTTCAGTTTTATTCGGCGAACTCGTTAGTCACAGAGTATTATAAAATCCTAGATATCGTTTAGATGGTCTATTTGATGATCATTCTTACAGTGAATTCAAAACTTTAAAACGCTCCCCTGTAAACTTGGTAATTTGGACAGTGATACTTTACATAGGAGGGGTCGAATTGATAATCACTTTTCGAATTTCATGAAATAAATTAATCACCTATTAGCTCAGTTTATTATAGATGTATAATTGAAAGCGAGTCGAGTGGTTTGCACACTAGTTTTCAAGGTGTCCCCATCTTCTAGGTCCTGAGTTCGATCCCCCGCCGGGTCAGTGTAGAAACCTAACTTTTCTATATTGTTTCGGGTCTGGATGTTTGTGGCACCATCGTTTTTTCCGACTTTCATAACACAAATGCTACTTACTTTGGGATCAGAGAAACATAATTATGTGTGATGTTGTCTTAAAGCGATAGCTAAAATATAATCCAAAAGAGGAGACTCACGTTACTATCTCCGTTGACAATCGGCGGCGGGCTCATGCATGTGTCCATTGGCACGGGCGGCGGTGGCGAGGGCGCGGCTAAGTGCTGCGGCGCGGCGGCCCCGCCAGTGGGCATAGACTTCTGTGACGTCATGCTGCTAGTCATTGATCGCGGTGCCACGTTGTTGGGTAGTGGCGGTAGAGGAGCCTCGGGTTCCGCTTCTATTTTCTCTGGCTCATTCATAGGGAATCTACAATAAATTTCAACAGGTTACCGTTTACCGTCCGTCCGACCTGTTGTCACAACATGTGTTTTTCTTCCACTCTCCGCTATCAGCCGTTATTGCCATACTCAAACCCATCTTTTCTTTGACCTTCCTTTCCCCTTATAACTGTAGTACACCATTAAAATGGAAAATCCAAACTGCTTTTTTGCAGTCGCAGTCGGTATTCAGCTCATGAGAGTACACATTTAAGTATCTAATATTCGCGCAAAAAGTAACATGGACACTTACCCATTGTTCTCTGGCAACAATGGCGGCGGTGGCGGAGATATCGGGGCGGGCTCCTTAGCCGGCGCTTCGGCTCCAGGCGGACGCGGGATCACTGACTCGTATATCGGCTCCTTTCGGCGACCGTTCAGGACTGATAGCTTGCCGTTTGGTATCACGCCGTTCGTCATCTCTGGTGGGGTTATATCTGGCAAAGAGTTATACACCTCGGCACTTATATGGAAATTCTTGCCATCACTAGAGGCGCTGCACAATTTGTCAAATAATTCATTCGGTTATGTAAACTCGTGGCAGAGGTTATACGTTATAAATAAAATTTAAATCATGATTTTTGTTGATTCAAGAAATTTGGTAAAATTACAGGCACAACAGCCTTGTCAACTTATGTCTCTGGGTGCCGTCACCCTGACGCAGTGGCAGTGCCCTTCAGATCTTTGCGATGCGATTTAAAGCTCTGAGTGGCACTGCAACTGTTATGGACAGGCGTGTAGCTTACCATCAGGCGCACGACTTGTTCGTCCCGTTACTTGATATTATAAAAAAAACTGTCAGAAGCATTTAGAGTTTCCTATTCAGTTTCAATGTCTGTATGTGTTGTATATTTCGCCATCCCCGGAGAACAAAAAGATAACTGCCATTATACAATTTTAGTGTTATATCATATTGAAGATCTTTAGGTACCAATACATCTTTTCAATTGTTTTCGTGATTTTTAAGCAGTTACGGAATAACAAAATAATACAATAATATATCGAGTTCTTAGGTTTTCGCGATTGTTATACATAGGAATGAGATTCGCATGGGACCTGTAAAGGGCCCGAAACGTCGGTTTGTTTGAAAAAACAAATATACGCGATTTAAATCCGGAAAAATAGTTTCATTCCTAATACAATAATATTCAAATTTTCTACCCATGCCCAAGTGCACAGAATAAGGTTATATGACAATATTAAACTAAATGAGTTAAGTTTCTTATGTCCTCGTAAAAATAATTACGCGAAGTAACGATACACGCAGTTATCATATTTTATTCCCGTTTCAAACTGTTCGGGTTGTTCTTATAATAAAGCAAAGTAAAGCAAAAGTTGATTATCATATCATGGTTTCATTGTAACAGCAGAATAAAAGACCTTTCCAAAAAAAAGTAAGTCTAACGGTTTAACTTGTTTTCGGCTTGGACATAACGAGAATAAAATGATAATCCACAATATAAACCCAAGAAGATGATTCATTTTGACTAATTATTTATTATTGAAATATCTCCATTTTGGCTTAACTTACGACTGTTTCATTTACAATATAGAATGCACAAAAAATATTCTTTCCTTAAAGCTAACTATTAATCTACCTACGTTCAGTATTTAAGAATTATCAATCAAAACATGTTTTTTATTCCTGAAATATTACTTTGTTGCAATTATCATTTTCTTCTCCGGGGATAGCGATTTTATATTCACCACCATTCGTAAGAGCTAACAAAACTCACCTTTGGCATTGGCATTAGGGGGTGGCGGCGGTGGGCCAGCCGGCTCTGGCAAAGTATTCGCCGGCGGCGGCGGGAATACAGCCATAGGTGACTCCTCTGGTATGTCTAATGGTGGCGGAGGCGGCGGCGGGAGTATGAGAGATGACGTCATAGAGTCCCCATTGGACATTGGAGAGATGCCTTGCGTCATCGACGCGGTCGACAAGCCGTTCATTGACGAAGTCATCGACGTGATGCCGTTGATAGACGATGTCATAGATGACGTCATGGGTGCAATAGGTGGGATAGGCAGAGAGGAAGGAGGCGAAGGTGGAATAGGCATTGTGGGAGCCGCGGGAGGGATAAGCAGTGAGGGAGGCGAGGGTGGAATAGCTTCGGATGGAGCTCCGTCCGGCTTGCGTTGTGATTCTGTGCGCTCTTTGCTCAGTTCGTTCATTTCTGCTGCTAGCACGTGTTCCAGCTGTGAAATAATCCGATCGAATGAAATTTGCAAGCGACAAAAAAACCGCCAAATTTTCAGAAATTGCATGAACCTACTTCGAACTCCAAACACTTGTAAATGCTTTTTGAAACAATTAACGTTAATAAATAATTAACAATCATACTTCTTGATGCAAATCATCAGCCAGTCTCGCCATAGAATCGCCGATCTCGGCGATGGTCGGTTGATGCGAGTCAGGCTGTCCGTCAGGCGCGCCGCGCTGCGTCGGCACATCCGCGAGGAAGTCGAACAGGTTGTCCAAGTTGACAGAGTCCGCGCGATTTGCTGCAGGTGCTGTGAGGCCTCGTAACTGGTCGGCCATGTTTTCCAGTTCTACGCGTTCTTGGTTGGCTTTTTCGGCAAGACTGGTGGAAAAACTAGTCGTTAATCTATTTTGCAAAAAATTACATTGCTTTCTAGGTAACGCGTGAATAACAAGATGTCAAGAAGTTACTGCGTTCTGGTTTCGAAGGGCAAGGGTGAATTTACAGGCACATGAGACTTGTCAACTTATATCCCAGGTTGACAAGCGTGGCACACTGACAGTCTCCCTCAAATCTTTGCGATTTAAAGCTCGAGTGACACTGCAACTGCTATGGACAGGTGTGTCGCTTAACACCAGGCGCACGACTTGTTCGTCCCGTCACATGGTATCACAAAAAATGCTAACGAGTTATATTTTTACAAACCTATTCCTTTCTTCCCTCAACTTGATCTCCTGGTTGACCCTCTTCATCTCTCTCAAAGCCGCAGCGACTTCCCTGGCAAATGCGCCTCTCAAGTACCGCTGCAAGATAAGAGCGGAACGGCGAAGTCTCAAGAAAGCAGCGCGCTCCTTCCAGCCGCGACACGCTGCTTGCAGCACTACAACTGCATTGCGCCATTGGAGATATTGGCGTCGCTTTAAGGTGCCCTTGTACCACTGTACCAAAAAATGTTAGTCAATATGCAGAAAATAACACTATTTAAAAAAAATTTCAAAATGATTCAGTGTCTGGGTTTGTTTACTTGAGGAGCAAGTATGTAGAAAAGAGTGGCTGAACTTTTTGTGGCTGTTACAGTGGTATTTACACAGCTGCCTATTTGCACAGATGCATATTGAAATTTAGAATCTCGCAAATCTGCGCATTTCTAGATAGTTTGTTATCAATTTGCAGAACTTTGGCTGAAATGTACTACTGATTTGAAATACAACATGTGTTCCCTTTTTATTTTTACATACAAATAAACCCAAATATTTGTACCTTTTCTTAATAGTGCGCACGGTGCCAAGGACTGCAATAAATACGGCAGTTTACGGTTTTATGGTTTACTACTGTTTTTATGGGAGGTATTGAAGATCCTACAACAAATCCAATTGTTATGAAAACAAAGTTCAGCATACCTTCTGTATTCGCAACGCAGATGATTGTATCAATGCTGTCCTCATAGCCTCAAGCGGCGAGTGCACAGAGCTCCTCATGAATATCTTCGTATGACCGACTTGCCAGTCATTGTTCGGGGCATTTACTAGCGCCATTATTGCTCTGCAAGGAAACCAACGATGCCGTATTTAATTCTCACTATATGCTTCGAAGCAATGCACACAATTTTTGCGTACTAACATTGTATAATCAACATCAACCGTAACAAACAGCGGTGGCCCGATTTATGTAAGACCCGTATTTGAAGCTATCAGCGCAAAAGTAAAGTCACATACATTTAATTTTTTTGTACAATGTTACTTTAGATGATAAAGTACATAATTATTATATGTATGCATGCTATTTTCATGTGTAAAAAATTATAATCTGTTTAAAGGCAAAAAAACCACATAAGTGGCATTTTTCATAAAAGGTCTAATTAAATTATAGTTATATATAGCTATGGTAAGAGAATCACTATCTTTCTGCAGGTGAAACTCAATAACAAAGAAGCTATAAACTCAATATCTGCCGAAAGATGATGATTTTCTTATATCAGGCACATAATTTCGAGATTTTAGTGGAAAACGTCACTCATGTGTTTGTTCAACAGGGTTCAGGATCCTTTTCATGAGCACTAGTCCCGGTTGCATAATAGTTTTAGAAAAAAATGTTATTTACTAAATAAATAAAGTGCTATGGACGAATATTCCGAAATGAAGGTATTTGAATTTTTTACCTTTAAGCAGACGATATTATTTTACTTTGTTTATTTTTCTTTTTAAGTATGGCTGTATTTATTCCTTACAATATAAATGGAATACTTACCGTTTATTATTTTACTTATTTACTTACAGCTTACTCTATGTGTTAGTATGGTTAGTGTTATCTTAATTTATAGTTAGTATATTATTACTTTACCTACATAAAATTAATATTGCTAATTTGAAATTCCTCATTAACTTCTATATGAATTTCACTGGATAGGGTAACATGACCTTTACGCTGATAGCCTTACAAACGGCGCCTTCAAATTAGAGGCTTATAGTAGCGATGCAGTAGCGCATCTGTTAATGTTATACAATGCCACAATATCCAGTCTGCAAAAGAGGCACGCGCGTGGTGCGACTGTACCGCTGCAGCTGCGCTTCTAAATATTGTTTGAAAATTAGTAGGGGCGCGGCTGCAGCGTAGCATCGATATTAAGATCGTACTTTAGTCCGTCTCTGTTTTAATAAATACCACATCTGTATATTAACGGTTGCCGAAATTTGCACTTATTGACAAACGCCACTGAGCACATGAGCTACGGCTCAAGATCTATTTCAAGATCTGAGTGAAATTTTAACCGATACACACTACTTAATACTAGACTGAGGTGCTTTTTTTTGAAGCGGGCCTAAAATTCGATTCTATTACTCGGGTCATATTTAGTACCAGGTTTTGTATGTACATAATATACATTGCATAATAAATGGGGAATAAATCTTTTTTAAATGAAAATAATCAATTTTCGATACTCACGCAATATCCGGGTTCTTAGGCCTCGGATGCGGCAGCAGACACCGATATCGCGCTTGGAAGATCGGCGTCGGCAGATGAACGGGATAACCATCCCTCCTAATCTTCACTATTTCGTTCATGCCCAAGTACTGCAGTTGTTCCAGTACCAGCTGATCGTTGTACGTACCCGCTTCTTTGTCTTCGTTCGGCTTTATGCATCGTACGTACCTGGTGGTGAAAACCATGTGTACTGCGTAACTTACTTTCGTACTTCGGTCTCACTTCGTTTTCGTGTCCCGGGGAAAAAAAAATCGAGACTCTCGGACTAATTCAAAAGTAGGTTTCCATATTTACAGGCCAGGCATTTGGGTAGTCGAAATATTATGGCATTTTAATGGAGTTCTTTATTAACACAAATTATAAAAGCTAAAGTTATTTATGAAATTTTCACTATCTTATTAGGAATAAAGGGTGTTTAATGTTTCAGTTAGAGAGCGCCAGATTTTATTACTATCGTTCTTCAATCTGTGCAGGTTATACTAAGATTAATTAAGCTCCACTCTACAGTGTTGCCATATCCATGTAATGTTGATTTAGCAGATATTTAAGTTCTGTACAAATACTGGCAAAGCAAAAGATACTCATAGTACATTGTGTTAAAGGTGTCTTATCAATTAAACATTGCTTTAAGGCGTACTCAAAATCAATGTACGAGGACATTAGTCTCAAATCTCTCGATATTCTCCTCGATATTGGTCTTTAATCTCGAAAATGCCATAAAATCGTCTTGAATCCCGAAAATGCCATAAAATCGTCGAGACTCCCGAAATTTTCGAGGCAGAGATTCCCGGAATGAAAGCCCTATTAGGCGCTACCATAGCGTCGTGTGATCATTCGTACAATGTTATTTAGATGTAGTCATTAAACATTTGACTAAATAGTAATCAAAATGTGCAAAACAGGACAAAAAAGGACCTTAGTAACAAGTATTAGGATTAACATTTGCAATAAAAATATTGGCATATGAGCGATCAATCTGTTTTATGAAATTATTCTTACCAGACATCTGTAGCTTGTAACATATCGACAAGCGATTGCAGTTGCGCTCTGAACGTGTCCACGACTGTCGGTCGCCCTTTCGACGTGCCTCGTTGCGTTGTGCTCGTCGAGTTTGGACTCGACAGTGACATGTCCTGAAATAGGTTATCCAATGTAGAAATATATTCAGAAGGTAAAAATAACACAATTATTTTGACGACTTCTATGGCTCAACGGTTAGGCACTATGGGCGCTATCAGAGGAGGTCCTCGACTCCCGGTGGCACTAACATGAGAAAGGTAAGTAGGTATTTAAATTGCTTTTCGCATAGTATTACAACATCTTCCCTACTGTAGCCCAACGCATTTGATGTTCGGCGATACGATCACCCGTGAAGGTTTTACGCTGCAATATACATGGTTGTTTAAAAAATGTGATTGTTATTATAATCGTTTATTAATATTAATAGATAAGCAACAAAGATTTACATGTGTTGCACAGCCAAATATTTACGTGACACTATATCTTTAGACGTTTTTTCTAATATTAAATTTAATTATGTCATATGTTCGCATTCGGATGAACAATTTGGTCAAAAAATGGAAAACGTGAACATGAGTGTGATTTAAATTTAACTTAATAGGTCAAATAATAATTTATCTAAAATATTGTTGCGTAACTTATTTCACATGGCACACAGAATAGTTTGTGTGTACCATTATAAATGCATACAACGGTTATCGCAAAATTGGCTGAACGTATTGAAAAATGTCTACTTTAGCGTTCGGTCCCACAAAAGACGCGTGGTTGCGGGATGTGGGCCGTGGCGCCCGCTTCCCCGCAAATACCGCACCATAGCTCTGTGAAGTAAGTATATTCGTCTCGCAATTGTATGGTTTGCAAAACTGTGATCAGTTCGGGTAATCTGGGTAATGCCCCTGAGTTAAAAAGGGAATATTCTAGTTTTGAGACCAGGAAATTGGTGTGTTTGTCTGGTATGTTCTTATTATTTTCCATGGTTCAGTGCCGACTGCTAACAAAGGGTCATTTGCAATATTGCGCTCTTTTTCTCGGTAAGTATTATTATCTTTTTTGATTGTGGAAAGCCAGTTATATACGTATCAAGTGCAGAGATTTTACATGTTGCATGCAACTGTGAACATTCTCAAGGATAAGGTAGGGTCAACTACACCAATAACTAGTGAATTCCTTGTAATATGTGTACCAGGGCAATGGAATATACTCCGAGGCATTTCCCAGAAAACTCCGAGGACTAATTTAGGAACGTTCATTTCCTAAATTGGTCTAAGCGGGACCGTGTCATCCAACGTCCGCAATGCAAACCGTTGAGCCACTGAGGTCAGACAATCAACAAACCTGTCCCGGAGGCGCCAACTCTTGCACATAGTCCGCCAGCTCCCTCACAAAAGGATTAGCAGACCTGCTGAGATGATCAATAAAGGCATCCTGCTGTGTATCTCTGTTCTTATCGACGAAACCCTGGACACTATATGTCACGGCTCCAGCGTAATGGTTGACTCCGAATTCTTCTTCCCATTTTCGACGAGATCCTTTCACGAAGCTTTGGTGGTCGCCGAATTCGCTTTGTATATTTGTTAGGTACGCTCCATCTGATCCCTATAAAACACGTTCTTCATTCAAATTCCTTTTTGTATTTAAACTTTCGAGATGAAATTTAATCCCAAAAATGTAACCAAAGGTAGCAGACATATTTTTCATAATTACGAATATCAACAGTCGATCATATTATAATTAATTATCTTAAATGTAAAATTTCATAATGTTCCTTTAAATTAAGACATATCTTACTTAAAAGGAATCAATCCTTATAATTTACCCTTATGATGGGCGTCATAAAAATCGAGCATGTATTTTTTTTTTGGTGGGGTCGATTCCCACTTGAGGCAAGCTACTTTTGAAGTCTTTGAATGCAGTACATTAATAATCTACATGAAGGAAAATATTCTATCCTATTTATTTTATAGTAATATAGTATACATTAATTTAAACTTTCACGTTTTAATGAATTTCCTGCATTTGTAATACAATTTTGTCTATTCCATTATTTTTTAACCGAATTCATCAAAAGGAGGAGGTTCTCAATGCGAGTGTATTTTTTTTTATGTATGTTACGCGTTGTGAATCGATTTTGAAGATTCTTTTTTTTTACACCCTGTATAAAGCTCCCACTAATATGCAACAAGCCTCTGTCACGCTGTACATGATTCAGATTTTCATGCTGCGTTGTCGTATCGTATGAAGATCTACTCATCTCTAAGATTACCTTAGGGTTCAATTACAATTTCTCTTTGTAAGTTAGCCATAAGATTATTACTTTAGTGGAAGATGTTTGTGAAGAGGCAATAAAGATTTAATATTATTGTTACCTTTGGCATATGGCACTGTTCACTCAACAGTTTGAGCAAGCATCTCGGTGGTTTCTCCAACAATTCCAGACAAGAACTGTTATCGGTGAACTGAATTTGGTTGTACACGATTCCTTCTTGGCGGTACTGAATAGGACGACATTACATTTGTTAATAAACGCTTACCACTATTGAGGCTATCAGCGCAATAAAATATTTTCTACCATATCACTTTAACTAATACTAAAATACATGATTATTTTGTATTTGGCTGCCTTTTGTCATGTATAAAAAATAATAATTAAATACTTTGGAAAATAAAATATTTTTTTTGTTTTTGGTATTGATTGGCTTTGCCTTCGCATTTAGCTAATGAAAGGTTTGAGAAAGCAGAATTACAGATTATGGAATAGGTGCGGAATTTGGGTGAAAAAGATTATGGTAGGTTGGGTAGGTGCGTAGCTATTATAAATCGGCATACATATTAAAGATTGATATTATTTTCGACAAATGAGGCCAGTACATTATAAACATCTTTGTTACATAAATACAGTAAACTTGTTACGGAGGTGGGTAGTGGGACACTGATTGACAGGAGTTCGGATATGGAAAGTATCGTGGTCAATTGAGAGGCAGAAGAAGAAGATATGGTTTAGATTCCCATAGGCCCCGCGTGAGCATGCAAGGTCAAGAACAATTTCGACTTTGAACAGGTGCACTGGAGTTGTCAATATTGCCTCAATTAATAAAAGGCCTCAAGCACACTGGTGAGTTCTCGATAAGAAGCCTCGATACTTACGATCTCTTGTTCCAGAGCAAAAACGTAATTATTAAAGAACATATGCAATTTCTCGTTCGCGTAGTTGATGCAGAGTTGTTCCAACGAGTTGGCAGTGAAGTTCTCGAAGCCGAAAATGTCCAGTACGCCAAGAGCTCGAGGTGCGTCATGGCCTGGTGTCGAACAGCTGTTAACGTGTCTGACGAGCCAGGCGAAAGTACGAGCGTAGAGCGCACGCGCCATTGCGTGACGGTTCTCGCGAGCCTGGACCAAAAAGAAGCACTTAAATGCTTGAGGCTTTCATTCGTACAGCCAGTTTAATGTCTCGTACAGCAGTCAGATTTTTTGTAACTCAAATTAACGACGGACAAGAAACAATAGTAGCAGTAGAGCTCCTTGTGAAAGAGCTCGTCCAGGGAAGTACTGCCACCTTACCTATTTCTGCCGCCAAGCAGTAATGTCACCATTGCTGTGTTCCGGTTTCGAAGGGTAAGGGTGCTGGTGAAATTACAGGTACATGGGACTTGTCAACTTATGTCTCAGGGGAACCGACGCAGTGGTAGTGCCCCTCAGAAATTAAAGCCCTGAGTGGCACTGTAACTGTTATGGACAAGCGTGTTGCTTACCTTCAGGCGCACGACTTATTCGTCCCGTCACTTGATGTTATAAAAAAAAAAATAAAAAAAATATGGTACCTCATGTAATCGCAAAGGAATATCTGTGACATTCCCTCGAACGTTGATCTGTCGCTCCAACAGAACTCTTCTAGCCGTCTCTGGTGGAAGGCCAAGCAAATTTGCAACTGCATCCACTGCTTCAGCGTCGTCAGGCGCTAGAGTTGTTCTTTCCCCGTCTACATCCTATGAAAGACAAAGTATGCAATATTATACAGTATGGACATAAATTGCTCGCACTAAAAAAACCTGATCGGATGCTAAAATACAAAGTACAACCCACTATCAGTGCTTAACAAATCCAAAAAGTACGTAGTAAACTGACAGCCAGATGTAAACTTGTTGTGGCATTCGTACGAAAACTAAGAAATACCAGCAGTTTTTAACATACCTGGAATTGAACATTTCCAAGCCACAAAATAGCTGCAAGTACTTTAAACAGTCCCTCACACATATGCGGCGGCACTTGCAATACGGTAAGCGCGAGCTGTAACGCTTCCAACTTGCCCTGCTCCCCCCCGCGGCCCTTCCGCGTCTCTTCGTCCTCAGGCCGTAAGTATTTATATTGGACATCGTCACGAAGACGTAGGGTTTGCCTTAATTCCGCATTATGCTGTAATTTAAAAATAGCTTTAATACCAAGTGTAAGAAAATTCACATACTCGGCAATAACATTTCATTTGTCTGATATATCATGACGATTATCTTTATTTACCTTAGCTCCCTCAACAAGCTGATAGAAGACGTGATAGTTGGTCTCACGCGGCGACGGACCGGTGATTCTGGCGCGTTCCAGCAGAAAATCCCTAAGCACAGCGCCTCTTATACCACCTCGGTTGTCTAATCGTACTTCGACGAATTTGCCGAAGCGCGATGAGTTATCGTTACGGACAGTTTTTGCGTTACCTGGGAATAGTTGAGTCAAACTGTGTAAATCTGAATATTGGGTTTTTCAAACACAGGTGTACAGACGACATGGTTACGTTAGTATTTGTCTTGAAAACAGTGATACATTTTATAATAAAATCAAAGACAGTGCTAATTAACAAGACAAGAAGGTTTATGACTTAGCGGTCGCGAGGAACCCAGTTATGTTATGGCCTCTGTTATTCTGCCATAACCTTGTGAAAGTATCGTAATTAAATATTTATTTTAGGACATCGAGGCTTAGTGTAGGTAAGGTAATTAAGATATTTTATTTTAGAACATGGAAACTTAGCATAATTAACCCCATCAATATCAATCCATTCCAAGCGCATGAGTCTGCTGTGTAAGCAGCCATTCGCGACAATATTCACGATAAGTTGAAAGTGCATGTTCAAATTGTTTTACAAAAAATAAAACACAAACGCCCACACTCATAGCCCCGCATTAGGGAAACCCTGTATCGCGGGTGCCATGGACACACACACATAGACAACCACAAATTATACCCAACTCACGAGAGAAATAAATGTAGGCCATACACACATTTCTCCTGGCCTGGAAATTGAACCCAGGACCTCTGCGTGGCAGTCCTGTATGGTAACCGTTCAGCCACAGAGGGAGTTCTGATTTGTTTTGATTTGATTAAATTGATTAAAATCAATTAACTGTGGCCGTTTTTATTATAGGCCAAAATCGAAGACTATTTCAACGGCAATAGTATTAAAATACGTACCAAAAGCTTCTAAAACAGTATTGGCTTCTAAAATCTGCTGTTCAGCCCAAGAAGCCTGACCGCCAGCCGCGCATAGATACTGCAATATAAATTTGGTGGTCTCCGTCTTGCCGGCTCCACTTTCCCCTGATATTACTACCGATTGATTCTTTTCTCCATTCTACAGAGAAAAAGGAACAAGATTTGAAATAACTCCAATAAGCGTGTTATAACTTTACGTGTTAATATATTACATATTGGTAACACTATCATACGCATCTAATTTTAAAATAGTGAAGGACAACTTCTAGTGATAGTAGACTCAATACTACTGACAAAACGCCTCCAATGTGCGGAAAAATTTTAATCATATATCGAGTATATAAAGAAATAGAGACGAAATGTCATTTAATTTGTTTGAAAACTATTCTGCCAAATCATTACGGTGATAACAGCGCTCCACTGGCCAGCCCGAATTCGAAACAGTTGACGGGTGTCGTCAATTGTTTCACTTCAAATGGACCAGTTTAACTTGAGCTTTGCTATAATAGATGACAATTGAAAAATTACATATTTAATATTTAATTACCGATGAAATGTGATTCCACTTGTTTTGTAATTAGATGTTTTGATGTTTTTCCCACACCACCGAATGCAACAGCACTCCATTGTTAGAGATATTATCTTTATTACAAATACAGAATATTTTTGGAATATATGGAGAC